TCACTTCCTTAGAACAGTGGTATCCAAGGGCAGCTGGCAGAGGAGGCAGTATCCAAGAGCTGGCAGAGAGTGTTTGATATAGCACTAACCATCAAGGTGTGGACATCTCTTAGGCTTCCCAACCAATGTGGGATAACACACTGGCTATGGTTTGAGTTTGCCCTGCAGGGGTTCATGTGTTGAAATTTAATCCCCATAGTGAGGGATTAAGAGGGTGGAAACTTAGCTCTATTATAGTGTTTAGCAGTGGAGCTATTGGGAGGTGATTAGGTTTGGACAAGGTCATCAGAGAGAAGCCCCAGTGATTGAATACTGGTGATTTCTTAAGAAGAGATAATTGTCACAGTGATGGAAAAACTGGCCACACACATACAGAGGAACAAGTGCCAAGAGGTGGAAGGAAACCAGGTTTCTCAAGGCAATGATACAGACAGAGGTGTGAGCACGTCAGACTCACCCATGGCCTTGTAGGGCTGGACTAGAGTCTTGTTTATCTTGTTCAATCCTGTTCAATCCTCTATGGAGTGGGGTGAAACAGAAGAGGGTGTGAAGGAAAAGAAAGTATCCAGCACAGCAGAGCAAGGCCCCCTGATCAGTGGGCCATGGCCCCTACTCTACTTAAAATCGTCATGTCACCCATGATGACAACCAGGGCAGGGTGAGGCCTCCAAAGTCTGATCCCATCAGAAAGATAAGTGGTGTAGCAAAAAGTGTGCTAATAAATGACTATTGATGGTCTGAACGTGTCCCCAACACCCCCACTCACCTTATTCTTCTCATGTCCATGACTGTGTTCTAGAGCCGCACAGAACTCAGGAGCCTCCAGCAGATAAACCAAGGCAGCCAGGCCTAGGAACTTAGGAGTGTGCCACGCAGTGCCCTGAAAAAGGGGCAGCTGCCCATCAGAGCAGCACAAAAAGAAACTTATAAGCCACCTATTCTTTCTTTCCTGAGATCCTCATGCTTTTCTATGTTTTTAAATTAAATTTTAGATTCTTTTGGCTCTGTGCAGCCTTGAAACCACAGACTCTTCTAATGAGCTGTTGCTAGTAAAAGAACTCTGGACAAATGAGGCAGGGTGGGTGGCTATTGAAGCAGATGCTGAAGGAGGCAGAATTCTAAATATCAAATCCATTTAGTGGCAACTTGTTAAAGTCGAAGGCTAAAATGTTTCACAGAGATAAAACCCTGCTGTGCATTTATCAGTCACAGAAGTAGCCATGGAAGATTCTCTGGAAGAATCTCTTATTAAACATCTAGGCTTCAAAAGGCTAATGGCTTCTCTCGCAGAGCACAACCATCAATCTCGCATGTTCCATGCTCATTGATTGTCTTGTATTACTGAATTCAAATTAGAATCTGTAACTCCTAAAAATACAATATTTTCACTTTTATAAGAATCACAAGTATCTACATGTTCTCTTTCTCTCTCTGGACAAAGGAAAAGTTAGCAAATGGATTCTCGTTACTAGGTTACCTTGAAACAATGTCCACAAAGTCATTAGGATATCAGTTAGGCTTCCTAAAATATCCTATTTATGATACAAAGCATATTGAAATAAAAAGGGATGCTCCACCCAATTTAGGTAATGCGAGAATCATTGGAAACAGGGTAAAAAAAAAAAGCCATCTCAAGGTCCAAAAATGGAAAAATACCCTTGACCCTGCTCACCAAGTGTAATAGCACTTTGCAATCACTGACATAAAAACTTCTCCAGATGGTCCCTACAGCAGACATTACTATCCCCAGTTGAGAGTGCTACAAATCTGGGATATATCAACAGGTAGAATAAGGTGGCTTTGAACATAGCAGTGAGGATGCACCACCAAGGGGGAACTGAGTTATGAGAGATCCACCGTTCACCATACTCCCACATAGAGTGCATCAGGAAGGGAGAAGTGGTCAGCAGTAACACTGCAAAGGCCACAGCAGCACATGATTAGACAGAAGGCTTTGTAGTTGTACTAAAGCACATTTGAAAGGAAATCAAAGACTAGACGCAGTATTCAAAAGAACTGACAGAGTAAATGACTTGAGCCATATGTCGTCATTCTTTTGAAAGGGGAAGGGTTGTTTCTTGGAAGATGAGTTGCAGTCTGCTTGATGTTTGCATGAACAATGCAGGAGACAGGCCAGTTTTTAGACTCTTTTGTAGACATTGGATTCAGAAATTAAAATTTAATAAAACCTGAAAATGAAACTCAGGTGAAAACAAAAACATAAATCCTATATATCAAAGTGTATTGACCAGTTACCAACAAGGACAGCCATGCTACTGGGAGTGTTCTAGCTACCTCAGGTGGGCAGTTTGGGGAATTCCCAGCTTCCCTGGTGTCCCTGCTCTCCCCTGCCTTTCTCATTGGCCCTGCTCAGCCCCCATCTTTCAGCCTTCCCACCCTGGACCAGACCATGTGTGGGGGAAGAGGTGGCAAGGGATTTCTCATCGTGCCATTGTGGGCCTCCATCTCCTCTCCCTTCTCTTTTTGGTTCTTTAATAGTGACCGTTTGTAAGCCACTTACTATTTGCTAGGCCCTGGCCTAAGGCTTTTTGTTTGGTTGGTCGTTTTAATTTTAAAATAGGAAGTTTTAGCAGTTATCCTTCCAGAAGCTTTGTTTAAAAGTTTTTAAAAATAATCTGAAACTCCCAGAAGACTTGCAAGTACAGTACAAAGAACTTTTTTTTATGAGTTATTTGAAAGTAAAATGTCAACCTGATACCCCTCACCCCTGAGTGTTCCATAAAGACATTCTCTTACATAACAAAATTAAGTATCAGGAATGAGCAGTGATACATTACTACCATCTAATCCACGACATTCTCCTGTATGTGACTCTCAGAACATGAGTCCACATTTGTTTGGATTATCTACTTCTCTGATCCTTGTATTACCATGGACATTCTACAAGAAAGATCATTTATTAAAAGTCTTGCTTTAAAGGTGAGAAAGCTGAAGTCTAGAAGGTTGCATGGCTTGGCCAAGGTGGCATATCTGTTAGCAAAAGTAGGACTCAAGCCAAAATTCTGCCTCCTTTCTAAAGCTCCACTGCATCCTGCACTTTTCTTCATCATAAAAAAGTGTAAATATCTTTATTATAGCTATTAATTAGGTTGGCAGGGAATTGTCAAAACTTGTGATTTATGAAAGTTTATATCACTGTGAAAAAGGGAAAATGATATATTGACTTAAAGTATAAAATTTTAAAGAATAAATTGGTAGCTATATAAGGAGTTGTGCAAATTAAATACTAGAAATTGTTTGTATAAAATATTTCCTTGGACACATTGATAGCAAATAAAGCCCTGTGTTTCAAAAGACCTAAGAGATCTCTCTGTTAAGAATCAGAGTGGTCAGACAGGTTCAGAAAGGCAAATAAAGGACTAGGATTTGCTTCAGTTCTAGTTTGTTACTGCCTATGGTTAAGTCACTTGGCTTATTTGTAACTCCCTTTTAAAAAAAACCCACAAAGATGATGATTTTAACTCAGAAATCACCAGTATACAGGGTCATTTTAGGAAGCTGAGAAAGGGAATGCCTGTTTCACTGTGTGAATGCTCGAAGCTGTTTAATCAGGGGTCTTTACTTTGTGTGCCATGGGCCCCTTGGCATCTGCTGAAGCCTATTCACTCTTTCTGAGAATAATACTTAATACATAAAGCAAAAATTGTATGTAGAATTACCCAGAAAAAATGTAGAAATGTAAAATACTTTAACTGGGCAAGTGTGGTGGCATGCCTGTTATCTCAATTACATAAAAGGTGGAGCTAGAAAATCACGTCTCAAGGACAGTCTGGAGAAAATACAAGCGAGACCCCAGCTCAACAAATAAACTAGACATGTGGTGGCATGTGCCTACAGCCCTAGCTACAGCGGGAGGCTTAGGTAGGAAGCCAGCTCCAGACAATAATATGAGACCCTATCTGAAAAATAGCTAAAGCAAAATAGAGCTGGGAGGCTCTTATCTGCCTAGCAAGCACAGGGCCCTGAGTTCAACTCCTAGTACTGCTGAAAAAGGGAAAATAAATAAGTAAAAATATTTCTGAAAACAAATGTGTGATGTTGTAATTGATATATGCTTTTTCGTAACTGCATAGATAATAAAATCTAGTATCAGGACTAATGAATATAATAATTTTAAATTAGCATACCTTAGTTTGCTCAAGTTGACATAATAGAATACCATAAGTAGGTAACTAACAGTTCTGAAGGCTAGAAGTCCAGGGTCAGGGTGTTAACATGTTCTGTTTCCTAAAATACCATAACTAGGTAGCTTAAACAATAGTTCTGGAGTCTGGATGTCCAAGTCCAAGGTAGGGATGCTAACATGGTCAGTTTCTGCCGAGGCTCTTCACATTGCTTTTTTCAGTGCTTGCACATGGAGAAAGATCTCTCCTCTTGTTTCACCCCTTCTTATAAGACCACAAATCCTGTTGGATTAGAACCCCATCCTTATGACCTTATTTAACCTTAATTACCCTAAGAGCCCTTTCTAAATGCAGTCACATGAAAGATTAGGAATTTAATACATTTATTTTATAGGGACACAATTCATTCCATAGCATAATGATAAGCAGAACTATTTTAAAATATCTTTAGCATACTATTATATATGATCTGAAAATAGCTGTGATCTGTTGGTGACAAAGTCACAGGGACTGCTAGTAATACTTTATTGCCTACATTCATCATAGAAGGAAATGCTTAATTTCAGGTAGAGGTTAGTGAAAATAAAAATAGGATTTTTTTTTTCCCATCTAAGTTCACAAACACCCTGAATTTCTAAATAGGAATCCGAGGTTAAGAATCTCTGATATATGTAAGATGTTCTTATTGGAGTGAGCAAGTGACATAAACCAAGGATGGTGGGAACAGATTCTGAAATCAGCTGATTCTACCCATAGCCAGTTCCCTAGGAGCAGTATGTGTGTTAAATTGAGAAGAGATATCATCTGTTCTTGGCTTGCTTTCTCACATTTTTCATTGTGTATTCGAGTATTGGAATGTTTTGTCTTGCAGACAGCAGGAGCCTAAATAGTGAACAAAAAAACCCCTGGACTTCTGAGGACTTCTGGCTTGAACCTTCTGTGAAAAGTCAATTGGAAACCAAGGAAGAAGATGCTGAACTTCGGAAATCCCTGGATAGATTCTATGAAATGTTTGGCTGTCCGCAGCCAGCCTCTGGGAGTTCACTCTCTGCATCTGTCTGCCGATGCCTGTCTCAGAAAATCACTGAACTGAAAGACCGGGAGAGCCATATGTATACCCTCCGCACTTTCCAGATGGCCCAGGTCATCTTCAACCGGGATGGCTATTCAGTCTTACAGAGACATTCCAGGGACACCCACTTCTATCCACAGGAGGAAGCAAGTGCCTCTCTGGACAATGAAAAGCCCACCCCAGGGCTTTCAAAAGATGTCATTTGTTTTATCTTAAAGCAGAGTATGATGAAAGACCCTTAACTGGTGGCGGTGGTGAGAGCAGCCACTACTAGAGGTGAAGTGCTGTGGTTTGTGCTGTTGGTATCCTCCACTCAGAGTTCCTGGGGGGAGTCTCTTGCCAGCTGTCTGTGCCCAGTCGACAGCTAAGTGCTTTGTAGTTAAGGGCTGGTACTTGTGACCAGGTCCAGGAGCCAGTCTGCCCATATGGAGAACCCTGTGGCCACCCCACCACTTGCCTTGGCCAAGGCCACTGACTGGCTGCTCTTCCTTGCCGAAATCTATGCTCCAGAACTTTCTCCCCTGGGGACCAAGCCTAGGCTGGAACTTCATATGAAATCACAATCTTGCTCCACTTCATCCCTTCCCTGTCTTGTTCATTTTCCCACTTACCTACTGGTGTCTCTCTGGGCCTTTCCTTAATAAACCTTTTATATCTGAATCCTTGACTTAGAGTCAACTCCTGGGAGAACCCAACCTAAGAGAACAACCTCTGTGAGATGAGTTTTTTGAAGTATATAAATCTCTGTGCTGAATCAAGGTTAAGAATTATACCAAATTGTGCTAGATCTGTGGCTCAAGTGGTAGAGTGCCTGCCTAGCCTGTGTGTGAGGTCCTGAGTTCAAGCCCCAGTACCACCAAAATAAGAGAAGGAAGGAAGGAGGGGGGAAAGGAGGGAGGAAGAAGGGAGGGTGGCAGAGCGGGGAAGAAAGGAAAGATTATATCAAATTGTAAAATAGAGACCATGTGATTGAGCATTTAGGTCCTAAAATAAAGATTTAAATACAGTCCGAAAATGTACATCACACAATAATCATACCCTTGGTTCCTCTCCAAAGCCAGAGCTCCCTGATTTATGATATTTATGGAAATGGAAGAAACATCTGGACCATCTAAAATAACAGCTAAAATTCAAAATAAAAAAAAAAAAACAATGGTTTCTTCACGTGCACCATGCAAAGTGCCTGTAAGTACACTTATGGTCTATGAGATTGATTCCATGTGGTCTTGTCAGTTTGTACTTGAAGAGAACAGGGATTCTTTGCCCTGGCAGGATCCTCCTTCCTCTTTTTATTGTTGTCTTATGCCTATCATTGCCAGAACCTTCTGTTATGCTCGAAATGGTAAGCCCTTTACCCCTGCCCTATCCTCACCTCTGACACCCGAGCTTCAGTGCAAATGCTTGCCCAGCACAGGGCCTTGCTGCCACCCAGTCCCTGTCCTCCAGGCCCATGCTCTACCTTGCCAGGAAGCTCGTTACATAGTTGGTGCAGGCTTGTGCTGGCAGATGCTATGCTCTGTGGGTCGTGTTCTGAGCCCTGGGTTGAGACTGTTGGTAGAATTACGTCACCTGGCACCATGCTCCCTGAAACTGTAATTGGAAGCCTCATATACTTCTTAAGCAAATTATACCAGTAGAAAGGGTTATATCACTTATTTGGGGAAACAACAAAAGCTGGCAGCCCTGTGCAAGTAGATTTTGAGAAACTCGAGGTGAAATTTAATTGGCATAAGACTCCAAAAGCTTTCCAGAAAGCAGATTAAGCAAATGGGGCATCCTAAAAGTGTACATTAAAAGTGAGTGTGCCATCTCAGGAAGGTCTCTGGGGGACTCTTGGATAGAGAGAGAAGCCTTTTAAAGGTTAACAGTGACATACCAGACTTCCAGTTCAGGGAGGATCAGAGGTAAGAAACTGTTCCAAATTGAAAGGCACAGATACCAGTGGAAGGGACCTCCAGGATAGGAAATCAGAAATGAATAGGCCTTTGGGAGGTCCTTGAAAAGTCTCCAGGTATTCCTCTGACAAGCGATCATCTGCCTCTTTCTCCTATTCAGTAGGCTCCCAAGAAATCATGAAACCAGTGGGATTTACAATTGAAAACCTGCAGGTTAAAATGTAAGATTGCTGTTTTTATTGTTTCTTAATGTGAAACATATTAATAGACACCCTTGAAGAATGTTGTTAGTATTATTTCACCACTGAAATATTTATAGTTAGTCTCCATGGTTACCAACAGAAGGAATCTCAATTATTTTATACTTGTTTTTAAAGGACAAAAGAATAAGCTATTTGATTCTCCATGTTGGGAAGCAGCAGCTTCTATTTCACAAGCTCTTATGATGAGAAAACTTACAACTTTCATTTAATATCAGTACTGAGAGAGATAGGCTCTGAAAACTGAGAATGTGGGAGACTAAAAGCCAGAATCACCTTAGGTAAAACAGAGTGTGGTGTGTATTTACTTGCATCTGAGTAAGTGTTTGTGACAGGTCAGTACAAGATATTTGATTCCCTGCAATCGTGCCCCTTAATTTGATCTCTGTGAGGATAGGACAGCATTTTCCATTGATCTCTGTGAACCTTTAATAAAGACTGAGTGATAAGGATATTGAGGCTCTGGCCTTCAGCATTATCATCTATTTCAGCCTATTAACAGATAAGTTCACAGACATCTTATCATCCTGTGGACACTTGTGAGTGGCCTATGAAGCCCTTTCAGACCTTCCAGGGCTTTGGTGAGGATGAATTTGCTTGCAAAAACGTCAGACTCTAAAGAAGAGAACTACTACCAGTGTTTTAAGTTTGTATACTATTACTCATTTCATTACTCTTATTTCTTTGTATAACGCATGCTGGGGATCGAACCCAGGGCCTCGTGCATGCTAAGCCAGCACTTTCACTGAGCTAGTTGCCCAGACTCTTTGTATAACCTATTTAATGCTACATGTAACAGATCTTCTTATGAGTAATTAGCACAAAACAATACAGAACTACTTTTAAAACTTTTTAAAGCTTTAAAAAGTTAGAAATTTTTGTTGAGTTGTAATTACACAGAAAAGTTCATATATCATGATTGAACATCTCTATGATTTTCATGAAGCGAACCTACCTGTGCAATCAGCATCCCCCTTGAGCCACAGGTGTTACCATCCAGCCTGGTGGCCCCCTTCTAAGTGGAGGTTTCCCTCTGGAGAACTGATGAGAGCACTTTGACCAATTTTCTCAAAGCACTGTCAGCACACAAAACCGCTTTAGATGCCACATGGACAGTGCTTATTTTAATTGTTGACCTATTCAGTTTTATATGTTAGAGAAATACAACTACCTTTAATCCATACTTTCACAGATGCTATGTAGGATAAGCTTAATACAAGTATTAAAAAATTTTAAGGAGTCCACTATTAAGTCTAGATTTAATAAAAAGCTAATAATAGAGCAGGTGACATATAGATATGTCAAAATTTATAAATATGGTATACTCTAAAGTGTCTGATGCTTGGGGTACAGTAGGATAAGTTCTATCTGGTAGTCTCCCGCAGCCCCTCTCCAGAAGACTGCAGGAAACTTCCATAGGGCTAACCCATATTTACTTTTGCCTCTTTACCCTGCAATCACAATGCAAATTCTTTTAAAAACCAAAATATGCATGAATGTCCAGAAAATTAAAAAGAAAGACTAGCCTTATCAAAGATGAAAAACATTTTCAACTCTGCAGTAATTGAAGCAGTAAGAAAACAAAAATAGACACAAAGTAAAAGAGTCCAGCCCATAAAGACATACAAATGCATATGGAAATTGAGTATGGGATAAAGGTAGGGATGGAGACGTGGCTCAGTGGTAGAGCACTTGCTTAGCATGTACAAGGCTCCAGGTTTGATCCCTAGCACCACGAAAAAAAGTCCTGAAGGAAAATGTAAAGTTGCTAGCAATTGGTCTTCCTCCCTCACTTTGGGGGAGGAAGAGTAAAAAGGCTGGATTCCCCATCTTCTCATATCACAATGAATTCTATATGCTTAAAGATTTCAAGGTTAAAAAAATGAAATCATAAAAATGCTAGATTAAAACATGAGGGATATATGTACATGTACATATATATCTAGAGACAGATTGTAGAATAGGGAAGATGTTTCTAGGAATGGTTTTAAAAAAAACCTAAAAATCATAAATGAAAAATTCGATGAAATTGACTACCAGAAACATAAAACTTCTGCAGGCAAAAAAAGTATTTAAGGCCGTAACAAGATCAAAAATAGGAAAAACACTTGGAACACATACAAGACAGAGACTTTTTCTTCAACAGAATTCTTATCATTTCAGTCCTTAGAAAAACAACCAAAGAGAAAAGTTGACATAGGGTATGAACAGGTAGTTAGGAAAAATGTGTATAGGTACTCCTCAAGTTATGATGCATTTCTGTTGTGATAAATCCATTGTGAGTTGAAAATATTGTAAGTCAAAAATGTATTAAATACACCTAGCCTGGCAAACATCGTAGCTTAGCAACACAGTGCACTGTGGAGCACGGGTTGTTTCCCCCTGTGAACACATGAGTGACCAGGAGCTGTGCCTTGCTACCACTCTAGAGAGCATCATGTTACCTGCCAGGAAATCATAAAGCTTCGAAATTTGAAGTTTATTTTCTGTTTAATGGGTATCACTTTTGCACCATTATAAATCTGGAAAGTTCTTAAGTCAAACCATCCTAATGGGGGACCAAATGGTATCTCTGTGTGTGTATGTGTAATAAATATGAATCATGCACAATTATACTTCACTGTTAAGAACGGCAATTTAGAACATCAATAAGCTACCCTTTGTTCTTATGTTTGTCTTGTCTCTTTATGCTTGTATTTTGGAGAGTGGTGAAGAGTTGGAAGAATCTAGTGGCAGGTGAAGCTGCAGGAAGCCAGGTGTCCCAATTGACTAGCAGCAATGGGTAGGTTCACTACCCACTGCAGCCTTTCTTGGGGCAATTTGGTCCCTCTATCAAAATTGTCAAAACACATCTTCTTTGACCTAACAATTCGTCTTTTCCATAATAGCTATTGACTAATTACTACAGGTGGTGCTCCAACGGTGAACCAGGCATGGAAGAAGCCTTCATGGCACTTACCCCCTGGTGAGGACTGCAGCGAAGACAAGGAACTTGGAACAGTGGAAATGCAATAAAAGTTTCAGATAGCAATATAGGTCAGTATTTTTATCATCTTGCATGAGGAAGTCCTTCCTAAAATGGATGGCAGTGCAAAATAATAAAAATTGACAGTTTTGGTTACATAAAATTTAAGTTAGAATGGAAGATATAAATCTGTGATGATCGCATTGTAGTTTTGAGAGGAAATATATTTAATTTTTAGATGTGAATACTGAAGTATTTAGGATAAAATGCCTTAATACCTGTAATTTCCTTTAAAATACTTCAACAGAAATAAGATAAAGCAGATATGACGAAATGTCAAAAATATCCAATCCAGATTTCTACTATTACATATGAAGCTTTTTTTAAATAAAAAAATGTTGAAGGAAAAGCAATGGTGAAAGAGTCAGACTGGGAGAGAAAATTTGCTACAGATATTAACAAACAAGAGGTTAATGTCATAATATGTAATAATGTCACAATATGTTAATAATTTCTGAAAATTGAAATCATAAATGAATTTTTTTAAATGAACCAAGAGAAGAAACAGGTATTTCACAGAAGAAATGCAAATTGAACAACCACTCAACCTGTCATAAAGAAATGGAGTTAAAAAGGTACTGCCATTTTTTAATTTATGTTGTTGGCAAAAAAAAAAAAGAAAAGTTCTGTCCTGTCCTACCTAGCATCGACAGAGGTAGAGACATGAGT